TCATATTAATCTAGATAATATTTTTATGTATTGCTTCATAACATAATTTAATTAAAAACTACATTCAAACAAAAACAAATTGAAATATTTTTCTGTTTGTATTGTTTGCGTATGACTGCTTTGCAGATTTCACGACTCCGAAAGTTTCATATCACACATTAAATTTGTATATTTCTCCATATTGATGTGTTTTCTCTTAAGTGTAATACTACCATAATATATGTAATATATATTTGAATTTCAATTCTTTCTATTGAGAAAAAATGTTTTTAGATAAACAGCCATAACCTCTAATTTCTTATATTAATATTTCAATATTTAAGATCTTAATAAACCTTTTTGTTTCATTAAACTAAGTATTTATTTATCTTTTTTACTTGTTTCGAATGCTTAAAAGAAGTAATACTACATATTATTTGCAATATCAACTTAACCAACCAACACAAAAATCGTAACTTATTTTACTTTAACAAATAAATACAATATTCCTCTTGTAGTCTTATAATTTTAAGAATTATTATTAATATTATATAATTTTACACACAAATAAATTAAAAATGTTTTCCTACAATAAGCGTTTATTGCAGATTCGTATTTATAAAAAAATATTCTTCTTCTTAGAGGCAAAATTAAACAGTAAATAGATACTATATTATTATACATAGCTATATAATACTAAAATATTTATCAGTACAAATTATTCATGTATTTATAATGATTCAAGAAGGAGTAAAATTATAGTTCATATTGAAATAAAATAAAATAAGAGAAAAATATGAATTTAAATTACTTTAATTTGTACTCTGAATGTAATTATTTTGAATAACATAGAAAACAATATTTCTCGAATAAATATATATAATCAATCACTACTTGACAAATATCATAATTTTTTATTGATATCTGGCAATAATTTTGATTAAGTTATATATAATTGTGTATTATTAAATTAATGAACAGAATTGTTTCCTATTTCAAGCATGAAATTTCATTCTTAATATCAAAGTTGCAAATATGTAAATTTTTTTTGACGACGTTTTTAAAGCCCTCCTTTTTTTCAAACATTATACTGCCCACGCAAAAATTATTTTTAAATTTTATTACTTCTTCTGAGTTTTTTTTTTTTAATGTCATAATGTATTCGAATTTAAGCCTCCATTGATTCTAAGCCGCAAATTCTATACAAGTTTTAAAGAAAAGATGAAAACTAGTGCCAAATGGTTTGTATCAATATACGATATTTATGAAATTTAAAAATAATTTAATGAGAGCTAATAAAAAGTAAATAAATATATAATTTATTTTACCAGTTTTTAAACCTTTAAATTCTACTTGAAGCTACATTTCTCTAACTGTCAGAATCTTCCACCAAATTGTGTTCAGCCTTCGATTCTAAGATGCACACTATTTTCAGTAGTATTAACATTGGTAAAAAAGTAGGGCTTACATTCAAATAAGGACAGTATATATTTGAATATGTTTTATAACTAAGTGGAACTCTAAGTCGATGATATGAATGTTTATTCTACCTTTATGTCTCAAACACAAAATTAATTCCTTTTTAAATTGAAATTCGTATATTGTTTTAGAAATTTACAAATTTTACAGGGAAAAACTTTTGATTGTATGTGTTTATTGCTCTAGAAAGGGAATAAATTTTTTTCCTTATGATATCACAAAAACCAACATAATCTGAAATAGTTTGTTCAAAAACTTATGTCCAGAAAATCTTATTGTTCAAATCTAAGTCTCCTAGATTCCCTATGCTCTCTTTTCTCTCTCAGTTTCCATTATAGCATTACGGGACATGGTTACTGATTAAATATAGCTAAGGGAAGAAAATATTGGCGGAGGAATGTGAAAAGGATAGAATGGTACAACTTCGGATTACTGTTTTGGCTTTCTTTTTGTTTTTCTACCAATCACACACATGCTGTATTCAGCAAACGTTCTAACCATCTAATTGGGCTGTTAACAGGGATAAATCATTTTCCACAGCAAGCTTTCATTTTCTCAATGATAGGAGTCAAAATAATTCTCTGTAAAATTATAATACAAAAATACTAAATCAATTTTCTTCAAATTTCGACTCTAACTCTAATGGTATTTTCAGATTAAATTATTTTCCTGATTGGAATTTTCTAATGGCGCGATTTCAGAATGTGTAGCTCTGTTGTTATTATTATTATTACTATTTTTATCTGGTAAAATTATGGATCTAAATTGGATTGATAATCTTGATATATTTGTTGTCTATTTGCCAAGATGTTGGTAAGTAAAGAAATTGCAGAAACGTCTCTTTTCTTTTAAAATTAAGATGACTGGAAAAGAGGCAGTTGTAGAGTTTTAATGACCATTATGTATTGAATATTTTAAACAATGTTTAAAATCAAACATTTAAATTTTATATAGTTATTGTAGATTCTTAATAATGGATAAAAATGGAAAAGTGTATTTAAAAAATAACTTAGATTAAAGGAAATAGAATGACTGTGTGTCAGAAAACCTATGCAAGTGATTTTGTAGTACTTATCATGATATCAAATACAAGAGTATTTTTTTTATGAAGTACTATTTATAGAGGCTCGCCCATTGGCGTGATGTGGTAGCTTGGAGAAGGGGGGGCACTGTCTCCGATGTTGTCCTCAGATTTTGTCCGCGTCGCCAGTAGCCCTCATGTTGCTTTTTAGTGCGAGGTTAATATAACTATTTCTTACTGAAGTACTGTTAATGAAAAATGTGATATATTAGTGCAATTTAGATATTTTATTTTCTATGAGTAACAAGTTTTAAATAGTATTTTCAATATTGCAATTAGTTCACAGTGGCTCTTCTCTTTCTATTAAAACTAATAATACTTAATATTATTTAATAAATTATGTATTTAACCATCCAAGCGGTCTGCACGTAAATTTCCGCCATTCCAGAGATGCTTCTTCTGCCTTCAAGCAAGATTCTCAAAAGCGGCCGAGCCGCATTCTTAAAAATATGGCTCAACCGCTTTTGAGAACCCCACCTGAAAGCAAAAAAATATGTGCGGTGCATTTTTGAAGCATCTCCAGAATGGCAAGACATTAAGTGCAGACTGCTTAGAGGGTTAATATTTATAAATAATTTTTTTACATTTCATTCAAAGCATTTTAATGAATGTCTATTATTTCAGTTCTCATCATGAATAGAAAAAATATCCGAAGTGAAGTAATTAATAATTTCGTCATTCTTAAAACTTTCTACAATATAAAAAATATATCTTTCATTTGTAATTTATATACGGCATCAAGAATCTTCGTGCTTCATGAAATTTTCTTTAATGTTAATAATGATTAACTTTAAAGAAAAAAAACTTTTTTTTTCCTTAAAGTTAATCATTCTTAACATTAAAGAAAATTTTATCCAGAAAACCTTCATGTAAGTTTACAAAATTAGAAAAAATGAAACAAGCTCAACTTTAGACGCTTGATTAGCTTCTATAGAAGCCCAAACAAAGGCGGGTAAAATCAAAATTCACATATCACGCATTCGTTTCAAAAATTACTTTTTCGTTGCTAGTAAAATATAGATAACCAATTTGAAATCCATATCTTAGAAGCTTTGTTACTATTTTTTCCGGAAGGGAAGATTAATAAAAAAATGGAAATTTTCTATTTTGACATTTGCTTCCGGCTGTTATTTTTTATGAAGACGCATAAATTTTTATATTACATGTTATTCTTCCATTATTCATGAAGTTTGTTCAAACTATTTTATTACTGTTACTTTTTAGAAAATTTCTAGGAAGGTTTTCTATTTTCTATCTAAATATTTTAGAAGTATTACTTGTTTTCTTTTACTTTAAAGCAATGATTTAGTCTTTTCTCTCTTAAGATTGAGTCAAGGTATATAGTTTTGTTCTTTTGTGTGGTTAAAACTCCCTTACGTTCAAACACTATACATAAGATATCTATTTCCAACCCAATATTTTAATTTTTTATAAATTAATGAACATAGATTATAATTAAAGAGCTTAAACAGTAACTGAGATAAAAAAAAAAGAAAGATGACTTCGTCTTTTATCAGTTATATATCTATAACGCTACGGAAGGAATGTACGAGTATAAAGCAAAAGAAATGTTAAAAGTCGGAATTTCATCGAATTTTACCAGGTACAAATGTAATGAAACACAACCTTTATAAACTTTTAATGCATAGTTTTTATTATGAAGCATACCTAAAATGAATACACATTTAAGAAATTTGAACAATTTTAAAAACATTTTTCCATTCGTGAGACAAAGAGATTTTCAAATTATCTCGAATTTTGTAGAGGTTTAATATGAATTTAAAAATTAATGTTTTACTAATATTTTCAGATTTGAAAACCCTATTTCACGTACAATAACTTATAACGTGTCAATTCTTGCATTTTTCTGTTACTTTATGTATTTAATAAAACTGATTATTGAAGACAAACATTACATAAAAGGGTTTTACTTTTAACGCAGTATTAGTGCTTCCTTTTTTTTATGAATTTTACTTTTTTTTAATAATATTTCATTTTGCATGTAAAACATATTATTTTAATTTTTAATCTGGCATCTACAGGTTGTTCTTTAAATGCTTTTCATCATTATCATGTTAATTCATACATTTGAATTTAAAATTATTCCACTCCTACTATTAGTTCACCTTCACCCTTTATATATATATATATATATATATATATATATATATATA